GTCAATGTGTACCAATCTAACAACGTCCAAGCATGACACTCGCTCACGCAGGGCTCAGTGCTGGTTGCATAACATCCTTCATCCGTTTAGCGAGTCTAGTGCACCACTTAACTTCACGACTGCAACACATCTACTTGTAGGGTGCGGTTGCGCATAGGTGCACCCTTTCTTTATAGAGCTGTGCGAACGTTGATGCAGCGTCATACCGAATAGGTTGAGGGTGGGGGGGGGGTATGGAGGCCGTGCTACCGCTTCACCAGTATCCCTTGTATCCCGTGGTGCAGCTGTAACATCGAGTTGGCATAGCCCGCTGACATTGGTGCACATCGAGAAGGAGAGAGAGCGCCACGATGCGTCATGGCCATGGCTGCAGAGAAGGTGTTGCGCCTCAACGGTTGTAAAGGTTCACTTTATTTGAGAGATTAGGCTCCTGGGCCTCGCGAGGAAACTGTTTGGCTGCGTTTATCTCCTGTATCTGCAGTGCTCCCGTTGATCATCGAGTTCCTCGAGCGGGCGCCAGTAACGTCTCCATTCGTCCCTGCAACGTGCAAGAGTTGCCCAATGGACTCTCTCTGCTCGAGGGACACGATGAACTTCATACCATTCGTTCAGAGCTTTCACGAAGAAGTCTGACCATCGCATAGGACGGTCGTCCAGGCGTTCATTTATCATTTCGGAGAGTCCAGTCAGTTATTGTTCTGGACGAGCAGTGACTACTTGATCTTCCTGGCGTGCATCATCAGCTCTTCAGTGTGGGCTTGCGATAGCGTCCATTCGTTGACAGTACAGGTCGTCTTCCTAGTCCTGGGCAGCTTTTCTCTCCGTTCGCTCTGTGCTTTTTGCAGCCTTCCCCGAGAGCCTACCAACATGCCATGTCGGTAGTGAATAAGGCTCAGAGGGATGAGGTTTATAATTGTTTTTGTTTTTAGCGTACAAATTACTCCACTGTTGATGGGGCTTTTCTAGAAAGGAGTTCTGAGCGTCGTCTCCAGAGGTCGCACCGCGACGTCGAGCATTTCTGAGCGCGTGACACCAGCTGCGAGTGACTCTGATGAAGCTTCTTTCACTGCCCTAGACTTTCATCCAGGCGCATAGTCTACCACTGCTCCATCTCCACCGGCTCCAACACTCATGAACACCTCGAATGAATTGTCGCGCGCGACGAGTTGTTGAGCGTCTTTTGTCGCGCGGTGACCTATTTTCATACACATCTTCCAAGTGATATCATTCAAAACACATTTCAGAAGTTGAAAAATGCTTTCATTAAAAACGTATGATTCTGCAGAACTGTTGCCCATTGCAGGTTTCGTATAGAAAAAATACGCACTACTCTTTAATGCGATGATTTATCTTTCTGCTTATTTGATTCTGCAATTCTTATCCTCCATTTATTTGCTTGTCCAGTGTGGTGGTGGTGGCAAGAAGAAAAAGGTGACCCCCAAAAAGGTGGGTTTCAAAATTTTTACTTCTAGCTCAACCCATTGCAGTAGCCGTTATACAGTCATGTTCACTGCGGATGATGAGACGTGTTAGGAAAGGGGGCGCTACCTTTGACGCTGCGCCAGCCTTCCTCCACCAGTTGGATCTCCACCCTTCTCCACAATGGACGGGTTGCCTGCTCCAGATGGACTGTAGAGAAGGGTGTCGCGACGTCTGCGTATACCTGTGACAGCTCTCGTGTCTCACAGTTTTGTTCACTGAGGATGAAGGGGCGTGTCAAAGAGATAGAGTTTGGCGCCCTGCCAGCCCGTTCTTCACCATTTGTTGAAGCGAATAAGCGACTACAACTGGTAGCAAACGAATACTACAAAACATATGACACTTGACGCTTGCAAAAGAAAAAAAAAACAGGAAACGGGCTGGCGCCGCACCAAACCCATCCCCTTAACACGTCCCCATCATCATCAGCTAACAAAACTGCATACATACGCTTTTGCCTCGCTCCTGGCTGGACTCTTGTAGCTATTTCAGCGTCCGCAGCCACTCCCCTTCTTGCTTTCAGACATGGAATACATGTGGAGTGTTAACTAAGCCCACGATACTGATGTGAAACTGTGGTTTCCAGGTGAAAAGAAGGATACTCCCATTTGCTGTAATTTAGGGATCTCCGGCTGCCAAACCGGGTGAAGCGGCTGTGGCGACTGCAAAGCCTGATACTGTCAAAACGGACAAGACGGCGATTGAGGACAAGAAAGAGGCTGAGAAACCGTCTGAAGAGAAAAAAGTGGAGGAAAAGAAAGAGGAGGAGAAGAAAGAGGAAAAGAAAGAAGAAAAGGAAAGAGGAAGAGAGAAGAAAAGAAGGAAGAGAAGAAACAGAGGAGAAGAAGGCAGAAGAGGAGGAAGAAGAAGGGGAGAGGGGAAGAAGGAGAGGAGAGCAGAGAGGGAAGAAGGAAGAGAAGAAGGAAGAGGAGAAGAAGATGAGCAGAAGGAGGAGGAAGAAGCGGAAAGAGAGAGTTCAAGAAGAGGGCGAGAACAAGGAAGGGGAATCTAAGGAGGAGAAGAAGGAGGAGAAAAAGGGAGGCAGAAAAAGAAGAGTAAGCAAGGATAGAACAGAAACAGGGGAGGAGGAAGAGGAAACAAGGAGAGGACAAAGGGAAGAGGAAAAGAGGGAATAAGAAAGAGGAGAAAGGAAAGAGGCGTAAGAAAGACGGAGAAAGAAGAGACACTTATGCAAGCTGGACGCATGTATTGGTTTTTCTGTTCATGTGAATTTCTTGTACATCATTATTCTTTAACTGCGCTGATTTCAGCTCAAAATCGCAAAAAAACTGTGGATTCACCCACGAAGGTGTGCAGAACTACCTTAATATAATTGAATTCAACCTTCATACTCCTACCCAGTTTACTGGTTCTATTTCAGGTTGATACAGCAGCATCTACGCCAAAGCAAGAAGGTTAGAAATGACACATTCTATACATGCAGTCGCAAAAACGCTCTGAAAACCTTGGTAAAATTCGTGACAGTATCGCGAGCGGTCGCAAAGCGGTCTGCTTTGATACAGCGCCTGCGAAATGCACTTCAATATGAGACAATGAGACAAGCTGTCCCAAGTGTGAACTTTCGCCGGGGTGACGACCACTCACAGATCTTCGTAAGGAGAAGCTCGTCAACCACGCTAGCAGTAAGGATAGTGCTGACATCAAGATAATCGTCTCTACTCTATTGTTCCCATCTAGGGCACTTCATCCGTTAGGGAATCCGAAACGAAGCAGTGTTAAGTCGCTGGAGAGGAAGTTTAGCGCAACAACGGTTGCGTTTTCTACAGAACGATGCCAGTATGGGGCAGCTATACAGTCTCCTAGTGTTCAATGCGCCATCTTCTTACCTTCTACGGTTTTTGTCACCTTTTACCCCAGGGAAGTCAGCCTGCCGCTCATTGGGCAGCATAACCTCAGAAAACCGGTAAGACCAGGTCAGGTTAGCTTGTGGAGGAGTTCGTACTGAAGGAGAACAGTGGGACCGAGCCTCGGCAAGAATTCATCCAAACATCAGGAAGTGCCCTGATTCCATAACTCAGTGGAGCAACCCATCCACCCATCCATCTTTCCCTTTTCGGACCCTGATCATTTTAACTAATATAGTCCGGATTTATTATAGTTTGATTAGTATTCTGTATTCCAGGTGGTGACATAAAACTAAGTGCCAGCAGTCTTGCCTGGGATGCAAAACAGTCTCAGCAGGTAGGGTCTATCGTCATTATCAGTCACCTTTGCCCGAACGGTGAATTGGTAGGGCATAAGGTAATGTAGCATGGCTGCTCAGTATCCCCTACAGTTTACAATATTGTCCATGCAGCATTTTTTTGATTTTAGGTAGAAATACATGCTGAAAG